GTGGTGCCCAGTGACAGGACCAGAGGCCATGGGAACAAATTGAAACACAGGAGGTTCCCTCTGAACAGCAGGGAACACTTTTCTACTGTGAGGGTGCTTGAGCACTGGCACAGGCTGCCCAGGGAGGTTGTGGAATCTCAGTCCTTGGAGATACTCAAAAGCTGCCTGGACATGGTCCTGGGCAACCAGCTCTAGGTAGCCCTGCTTGAGGAGGGGCGTTAGACGAGATGATCTCTAGAGGTCCCTTCCAACCTCAGCTATTCTGTGATTCTGGGACCTTTTCCATTCCTCAGACATAGCACGTGTCTTTGCCAGCTGCACCATTCCCTTTTTTCCCCACTGGCCATAGCCCAGCTCCCTACCTCCCCTCCTGCCACTGAGAGCCAGCATTTTGGCACAGGCAGAGGAAAACTCATTCAGCAGGGAAGAGGGAACAGAAAAGGATCCTAAAAAAAGATCAGCATGTCCAGCCAAGGTTGGTTTAACGTGTTCAGCCAAGGTTGAACCACCCTCAGTGCTTCTCCCTGTTTGCTATTGCTCTTTTTATCAGTTTTTTATCAGACAAAGATCAGTTCATGTTACATGGAGTAGCAGACAGCTGGACTGACAGATAAATTTCTAACAAGGGAATACAACATGTGCATCAACAATTACTGGTCTGAAGTGTTGGCTTGTTGAGCTTGGGTTTGCATTGTTTTGTTTTCGACTTGATCTGAGCGCTCTCCAAATTTATCAGTTTTTTTCTGTTTCATGGCCCTGTGGGAGCTATGCAGTGTGGAGGTGTTTGTGTAACCTTGGGCTCTACCTTGAGCAAGTAGCTGCTCCCCCTTTTTTTCTACATGGAGAACATTTTTGATCGGTTAAATGAGTTATGTATATAGATAAATTGTATTAATCACAAACTTAGATACAGCTTCTTATCAGATATTTCAGTATAAAAAGAAATTCTCTTGGAAAAATGCTACCAGCTCATTAAAGATGCTTCAGTATCTGGTTCTTCTCAGCTGCCTGGGTAAGTTGCAATTGAAATGTTTGAGCTGGGGAAGGCTGAGCCTCTCAAACTCTGACTAAGTGGTGCAGATTAGAGCATAACAATTTTTTTCTCTGCAGTTACTGCACTAGGGCAAAACCTTATGTGGACACAATTATTCTGTCTGGAAGGGTTTTTCTCTATTGCGGTAACAAGATCTCCATGAAAAAGATCTGGTGGAGCTCTGAGGGAGGGGAGAGGAAACCTGCACCCTGAAATAAAGGGGGTTTAGGTTGGTGCACAACTGCCTGGCAGTTATGGGGCTGCACAGACCGCAGGAACAGAAGTCAATTTATATGAGCTTTGCCCCTTGAAGCCTGTTTATGCTATTTTTCAACCACGGAGGCTTTAAAGACAGCCTCCAGGATGGAGAGCGATCACAGTGTCACCATGTGCAAGTCTCAGTCACTTGATTTCAGACTCGCTTGGCTGGCTGCCCTGCGCAGCACAGGTTTGTCACTGGCAGTAACCCGCGATGGCTGGCGCTCTTTAGGAATCCGCATGACAAACTGCACTCCGTTTTTTTGTGTGGTTAGGGGCAATCTCTGGAAGTCCCCTCAGGGATGCTTTTCAGAAGGATGGGCTGACAGGCCGAGTAATTGGAGGCCACGAGGCTCAACAAAACAGCTGGAAGTGGCAGGTAATGCTGGTGTCTTATACTTGAAAAAAGCCTTATACTTAAAAAAACAGTGGGAAAATGACAGCTTCCACTGTCCGAAGCCACACATGCTGTTTCTGCAGAGGCACGGCATAGCTTGGGTGCAAAATATGTTGTCGTTTGATCCAGGTATCACTTCAAATTGCCTATGCTGACTCCCCGACTTTCTACTCTCACATCTGCGGTGGAACCCTTATCGGCAGCAAATGGGTCATGACCGCAGCCCATTGCCTCAGCATGTAAGTAGGATAAAAAGCATTAAAACTCCTGTTCTGCTCCTCATTCTTGCTGCAGGCAGGAGCCAGACCCTTCTCACCCTCTGAGCGCCCCACTGGTGCCGTTCCTTGCACAGCTGGACATCCCTCTGCGCACTTAATCAAGGGAACTGGAAAACTCTGTTTGCTTTAGCCTTGATTTTACACAGTAATTGCTGACTTCCTGGGAGTGGAAATCAAGCTGATTTCTGATTTGCATAAGAGGAGGTGCATTTGCATGAATGTGAGCATTTTGAATGGGTTTCCATCTTGAGAAACCTGCACAGAGATGGAAAGATTGGGTGAAAGGCATGTTTTGTAGCTCACGGGCCATGTTGTACAATTTGCTCGGCAGCATGTCTAACATGCACCGCCTAAACGATACAGCGTGACACCAATAAGCGAACACGCCTCTTTAATTACTCATGCCTTTAGTGAATGTACTTACAATAAAGTGCAACAAGCTGATCCTTCACGCTCTGTTTCAGATAGATGCAGAGATGCAAAATGAACGTTCTCGTTCAAGACCAAGGTCAGCACTGTGTTAGCTGATGCTGCACCTTCACTCGCTTCGCCAGCAAACTGCAGGCAGCATTTGCCTAATTCATAAGACCATTTAGCTACCGTCCATTGAAAATCCTCCGGTGGAAGGTGCTTTAGAAATTGTTACATTGGTGGAAGGTCTCAGTGGTGCAGGAATTACACTGCAAAGCTAGTGGTGGGGAGTAGTTTTTACATTAATTACCCTGTGATTCATTTTCAGGCCACCAGGAGCAACCTACCGAGTGGCTCTGGGTGAGCACAGTCTCTTGAACGTGGATGGCACCGAGTACTATATTGGTGTGGACAGAGTCTTCATTCACGATGGCTGGAATCCCTATGACATTGCCAATGGGTAATTATTTTGAATGTCATCAGATGGTTGAATGGTACTTAGCACCCTGTCCCGCATGTGTTTATGTGTATATTGAGTCCGGTTCCCAGTGGGGTTGGATTTGTGGGAAGCACTGGAAGATGACGCGATGGAGATTTCCCAAATGACCTCCTCTCTTGGACGTGTTACACGGTGTCTATGTGGATGACCTCAATCCTGGTTTGCCCAAGACGGGGGAAAGATGGGCCTCACAGACAGATCCAGGATGTACAGCAGATTCAGGGGCTTGCCCGCAGTCACACCACTGTTTGCATCGGATGAAGGGAAGCCAACAAGGAAATGCTGAGGGACTGTCTTAAATCCCCCCTCGGAGGCATGCCTGTCCACCCAGGGTCCACTGAAATTCACTCTGAGGTTGGGTGCCTCCGAAGGAGTAGGAGATTTTTGGGATTTTTGTAGGAGATTTTTGGGAGCCTTTTATCAGTCTGTACCATGGCCTCTTCTCTCTTAATTCCTCATCTTTTCCTGTCGCCTGTGATAGCTATAAGGATTAATTCATTATGTTTGCAAGGTGCTTGTCTATCATCATGCCACAGGCTATAGACCTGTATAAGTGACGAAATGTGAGTGCGGACATCTGGTTTATGAGTAATCCAGGATTTTCAGTAAAGGGTCTTTTATCTGTTTCCCATTTCAGCTATGACATTGCCCTGCTGCTCCTCAGTTCTCCTGCCTATGACAATGGGTTTGTTGAGCTGGGAATGCTTCCACCTGAAGGAGTAATTTTGCCCAATAACTATCCCTGCTATATTACCGGATGGGGATTGGTTAGTGGTAAGTAAGGGGGGAGGAGGAGTGTTGAGGGTCCCTCCTGGTTTCAGAGGGACCACCGTGCAGTTAAGGCTGCCCGAGGCAGGGTGCGGGCTTCCTTCCTCAACCACTGGAGCTCCTGGACCAAAATCTCACCCTTTCTCTGCTAGCGGGTGGCAGCAGCGCGGACAGACTGCAGGAGGTGATGCTGCCGGTGGTCGACCATGAGATCTGCTCCCAGAGTAACTGGTGGGGATCTCAAGCAAAAGTCACTATGATCTGTGCAGGTGGAGACGGCGTGAGGTCTGGATGCAGTGTAAGATCTGTTATTATCAGAGGATTTTCAAGCTCCCCTCTTTCTCTTTCCTTCCTATCTGACCTTGCTGTTCTTTCAGTGAGTAACCATTGCTGCTCCTTCAGCTGGGACCCGGTTTTGCTATTTCTCCACCTGCAGTAGCTCTCCTATAAATTCTGGCCCCTTCACTGTTTTTCTTCTGAGTATCTTCTAAAGCAGATTCCTCAATTTCCCAAAGAGCACCCAGCAGAGAGGGAACCTCCAAATCCTCAGAGTGCATCTCTCCCCTCTCATTTTGGAGGGGAGATTTGCCCTTCCTTCCAGCAGCATGTCCCATTGACCAGATCCTGGGGAAGGGGTTAGGACTTTGGCAGTCCCCTCTGCCCTCATCCAAAGGATGAAGCTTCAGGGAAGTCCTACCACTCCTCCCATGTTGCTGTCATGTTGCACCCTGGACCAGGCAGTGCTCCCCCACGCTTTTGCCCTGCTTGTCACCCTTCTCCTCCCCAGCCGCTCTGCTTACATGGACAGCAGAGGTTGCTTCAAGCTTTGGTTACATCCAAGTTTCACCATCTGGCCGAGGTTAGGTGGAAAAGGAAGATGCTGTGAGGTCCCCTTCATCCCAGGAGCTCCAGGTGGCCCCTGAGTCAAGGCAAGGAGGTTTGGTGTGTGAAGACAGGGGATACACATTACCTCTGCCTGTATTCCCTTCACTACAGAGGTGGCTTCTGGCAAAAGCAACCATGCAGAGCCTTTGAAAAAAATGAACAAACACGTAGGATATTTGATTATGTAAATATATAAATATAATATAGAACCATATAGAAAAAAACAGGTTATACAATTATACACAGTACAATTACAGGTATAGTATAATTACAGGTCTACATATATTTAGTGTATTTTTTGGTGTGGTTTAATTATGGTAGAACCTTGTTACAAATTGGGATCTGAGCCAAGCAAAAGCTGTTATCTTCTCATATCTTTTAACTCAAGTTGCTTTCTTTTTTACCTTAACTTCCCGGGACCCTTTGAATATACTTGTTTGCAAAGAACAAGGGGAGCAGCGTTTCCCTTCTACCTGGTTCCTTGTAGCTGATTTTTTAAGAGATGCTGTGCAGGTGGACCTTGCTGGGAAGGACTGCATGTCGTGCAGTGTGCACTGGACTAGTTGCAATGGTGGTGGGAAATGAGGGTTTCAGCCCTTGCTGGGGTGGGTATGTGTATATGTGTATATGTGTGTATATGCGTGTAGACTGAGGTAATAAATTGTGGGTCTGATCTTTGCAACATCTTGGGAGGTGCTGGTCGGTCTCTGCTGCCATGCGGCTGGGCAGCGGTCAGCCCTTTGCAAAGAAAGCAGCACAAACATTTATTTTCATGTTCAGGACAGTGGTTAACTAACTGGTGCTCCTTAATCCTATCCAGTCATTCCTAAATTGCTCAGATAATTGGGCTTAATATGTTCCTCTCCTTCCTCTGATCCAGGGGGACTCTGGGGGCCCTCTCAGCTGCTACAGAGACAATCACTGGGAAGTCCATGGCATTGTCAGTTTTGGGCTAGTTCCTTACTGTAACACCTACCAGAAGCCAACAGTTTTCACACGTGTGTCAGCCTACGTGGACTGGATCTACAGTGTAAGTTGCTTAGTGCCTGCGAGGGAACCTGATGTATCTCCCATGAAGGCAAGGGAGTGCCAGAGGAATTGGAGCCTTTCATTTATTAAACCATTAGGAGTTGAACTGGGAGAGCTGGGGAGGTCTAAAATCAGGATATTTGGTGCTACTTTTGGTGTAGTCAAACAATTGTAAGGAAGGAGCTGCTGCCTTGGAGCTGAAATGCTCTGCTGAGGACCACGGACAAAATTCAAGCCAGGCAGGAGCTGGGCTCTGTGTCCAAAAAATGATCATTGCCATTCACCCAGACAAAACCTTACTGCAGGAAACCACTGAAGAAATTATGCAGCAAACGTAAAGCATCTCTACAAGTTCAAGTCCTGCGGTGCCACACTATGCACTCTCAGCTTTACATTTGGGAGCGAGCAATGAGCTCTTTGCTCCCAGAAATAATGTCTGGCACAAGAAGCAGCCGTTTCCCAGGCACAAGGGATGGTTTTGTGGAAATGCCGCTGTAAACCGTGGGGCCTGCTGGAAAGAAAGATGGGGAGAGGTATTTTTAAATCACTGCAAGGAAGAGGGAGGCTACTGCAGGCCATAAACCTTTCTGGGTGAGAACAGGTTGTTAGAGCAGTCCCCTGGCCCAGCTGGGAACAAGCCCTTCTTCAGAGGACTTACATGGGATGGAGACGTGCGTTATTCTGGCCCTTTGCTGAATTCACCTCTTTTTTTGTTTTCCAGACTACAACGAATAACGGGGGTTTGTAGAGAAGGATCGGCTGGTGCATGAGTATGAGAAGAGCTACAACGAAGTATCTCTGCTCATTAACCCTCCTCTCATCCCTTCTACACCTCTTTGGGCTATTAATAGTAAGGTTTAGCTAAGAATATAATAAAGCATCAGAGATTTCAACCAGTGACCTGTTGCTGTGTCTGCCTGGCCTTAGGCACCGGCTCAGACCGCTCAGCAGGGAAGGAGGCTCCAGCAAATGCCACAGCCTGTAATGAAAATATAAGCCTTAACTTGGGGCTGGGCTGTGGGCAGTGAGCATGGCTCTTCAGGGCTGTCACTTTGGCACCAAACCCAAACTATGATGCGTTTTTCTTTCTGAGGGATTCCTTAGGAATAACCCCACCAGAGGCAAAGGTGGTCAGCTCGGTGCTTGCAGGTCAGTGGGAGCAGAGCAATGGTGTGACACTGCGGGGCATAAGTATAAACTGGGAGAGGAGTGGCTGGAGAGCAGCCCTGCAGAAGGGGATCTGGGGGTCCTGGTCGGCAGCAGGCTCGATGGGAGCCAGCAGTGTGCCTTGGCAGCCAAGGGGGCAAAGCCCATCCCGGGGTGCACCAAACACAGCATAGCCAGCCGTCAAAAGAGGGGATTATCCTGCTGTACTCAGCGCTGGTGCGGCCTCACCTGGCGTGCTGGGTGCAGTTCTGGGCCCCACCGCTTAAGGATGTGAAGGTCCTTGAATGCCTCCAGAGGAGGGCAACAAAGCTGGTGAAAGGGCTGGAAGGAATGTCCCGTGAGGAGCGCCTGAGGGCTGTGGGCTTGTCTGGTTTGGAGAAAAGGAGGCTGAGGGG